ATATACGGAATCAGGTGCTTCATTAATAAACTTTGCAATTTCAGATGCTGTGAAAACCTTCGATTTTTTTGGTTTATAACCAGATGAGGCTCTTTTTAAAAATGCCACTAATTTATGATAGGTGTCGATATGAACGTCTTTCTTCATCTTAATTGTTAATTTTAGCATTGAATACGTACTCCATAGCGTGCTTGCTTTCTTGGTCTCAGATAATTCTATAAAATATGCCAGCAAAACGTTTTCGGAGAAAGTTTTTGCTCCTTTAGCTAGTCGCCACATGTTAAATATATCGTACTGTTTCAAATACTTCTCTCGTGATTGCTGAGGGAGAAGGCTCATTTGCGCATTATTAACTGTTTCAGTTAACTCAGTTGGCGTTAGATAAACTTCATCGTCGCTAATGTCACTCATTTTAGTTGATTTTTTTGTACAGTTTTTAGGTTATGTTAATTATATTAAGCAATAAAACGTGAAAAACTAGAATGGCGCGAAGCACGCAAATAAAACAAAGAAACCAAGAAGGTTCCAAATTTAAATTTTTTCACAATTTAAAAAGTTCTAATCATAAATTTGGCACCATAGAGGTTACATTAAATAGGTTTAATGACGTTTTGAATTTACAATTATATTGAGTACTCATTATATGTGATGTTCTAAATTCAAATCTACTTTGCCGCTCAAGCGAATAAAATAGAATTTTCCAGCCAGATTTCGAAGCGCAAAATTACACTTTCCGAGGTGGTGGGATGAAAATGTATTTTTTAATCCCACATTATAAAAAAATATATGTTCCCAAAAAATTTTAGGGCTGTGTAACGCAGTGTTCTATCAATTTCCTGGGATAACATTCCTCTTAACCCATATGAGAACACTACGTTACAATACACAATAGTTTGAATTTTGGCGCGAAGGCGCATTGTAGGTTTCAGAAACTACGTTACAGGTGGACAACCATTATCAGTTAAGGATATGAAAAATAGATTACTATCTATCTATCTAGATTACTATCGGCTACTGCCGATTCTCAGACCCACGGAATATACATATAAAATTTCATGAAAATCGGTCAGGCCGTTTCGGAGGTGTATGGTAACTAACATTGTGACTCGAGAATTTTATATATAAGAAGATGTTCGCATTAGTCGGATACAGGATCTGTTATGCGCCTAAATTGATTGATCTGTAAGTATAAACAATAAGCAAGTGTTGAAGTTTTCACGACACGAGACGTGACATTTTAAGTGATTAGTGCCGCACGACTGGAGCTCTCTCTCTCTTGCCATTGTCGTTCGGAAGCGGTTATTAAATAGAAAATAATGGATCACACAGCCGAGACACGATGCAATATCGTGTGCATGATCAATATAGGTGGATACCTTTAGCAGATTTAAAGTTAACTCAATGACGGGTGTCTAGATAGTCAATATTACTAATCTCAGTTTCAGGTAAAATTAAGTTTTAAATCTTAAGTTTACGGGTAATGGCAGAAGTACACGTGCCTATTGTTTGCGTGCTATGTGTTTTGATAGCAGTCTCTCCTTTTCATTCCATAGCTGTTAGCAAAAACGAATAGCTATTTGAAGTGCGATCACAAGACATATTAAGAATTATCCTAAAGAAATACTTTAAATATGAAATTGTTAGAACAAATCAGATGGGGAAAAATCTGTGAACAATGTTCTATTCGTTCACAGGGACAAAATCCATTATGATGAACATGAGTACGACAGAACTTTTTTGTTCTGGCGATCCCTTTTTTCATATTGTTGACACATTGAAACTTTGGAGATCGCGGAAGTGTTAAAGTTAGACCATTAGCTCTCAAACCCCTCATTAAAAAGTCATCATAATAAAGTTGGTTCCAATGTTTTCAAGCCTCAGTCCCTTGGTCTTAGATTATACCTGTGCATCTAGCAAAAAGCACTTAACGTGTGATAATAATATGAATAGGACGTCTGCAAGGCAATTAAAATTAAGTCTTTTTTTTTCTGCTGTACGGTTGATCAAATCGCGCGACTCTTCTTTTGCGTATACAGACTAGTGTATGTCGCATGCGACTTATCTTACCTTAGTTGTAAATTGTCTTCTCTTTGTCGCTATTAGGTTAAATTACCTTTTTAGCGTGTCAATGGAACGCTATTATTACCGGTGTGCTCTTAAATGCATGTTAGTTTTATATATTCTTAACAGGTTCGCTAGCTAAGTATGCCATTCACGCCGCGATAATGAATCTCGGCCGGTAGACTGATAGACGCCTGACCAACGCTATACCAGCATAAACATTATCAGACAGAGTTACTAAAACTTCCACGTACACATTGCCTCAAGCACCATTCACCAAAGGCAATAATTAAATGCGGCAGTGATGCACTGTTTACCAACTTGTCGTTAACTTATATTGAATTATGTAACTCACGTCCGACTTAGGGAAATACGAATATGTACATATTTCTTTATTGTTAATTTTATGGTTGAAGGCTTTTTTTTTATTTATTTGTATTGAAACGAAAACAATAAAATCAGTACCCTTAGTACGAGTGCGAACTCACGAAAACTATCATAGTTTTCGTAATTGTAAAACTCGTAGATACTAAGGGTACTGCTCGTTTAAATTACGAAATGATATGAATTACAAATGAAAGATGAACAGAAAATACCATAAACCTTAATCGGGATACAGGACCTACAGATGTGGGTGTGAGTTTTTATTGTGTTTATTTGTAACTCTAATCAACAATGACAAAATTAACTTATATCGCAGATAGCTTCGAAGTAAAGCAAATCTTTTTAAAGTCAGTTATAATTCTTCATTAAGAATTAAGATTACTGTCGGTCTTTGAACGTTTTAGAACATATTGCTTTTCACTTTCTTAGAACGCAAGCGTTTTCAAAATGTATTTTATAATGGCTAGGTAGCGTAAACTTTCGATTTTCTAATTACACAGTACACGGTGAAGTGACTGTATACTACACGACAACATCTCGACTGAAGTGGATTTCTAAGCGTGAAGTGTTTTATGTTTTGATAAAATTTCGTCAATATGTTTTTTTATTCCTAATCGTCTGTGTTAGTACTTTGAGTATAATTTTCTGTCTATTTCTTTATTTTTTTTTATGTTACAACCTTATGGCCCGCCTGGTGGTAAGCGGCCACCATAGCCTTTATAGTTTATAAGTTTTGATAGATGGATAGTATAGAATAGACGCTCGAGATAACAAAAATATCACACGGACCCAATTCACCTACCCCATGGAGCCCTGGAACCTTACTAACTGACAGAAAGGTAATGTTATTTTACTGTCATCTATTGTGAAGGTTTTTTCCCCAGACGGGCGCTCCAATTCAAGCGGCAAATCCGTTATGCTCGATCTCGCTTAAAATCGCTTATATCTTATCAAATAACAACTGTTCCAACCTATCGCAATTTAAATTTAAGCGCAGAAGCTATTTTGTTTTTTTAGTAGGCACTTAGTTAAATTTTATTCTGGTTTTACTTTACAACTTCCGTAGGAATCGAGTGACGAGTCGGTCGTCATGTCGCACTTGGCATCGTTCGTCACGTCTCATATCCATTTCTCTCTGAAATACCGACGGTTTTTAATCCCAGCTGTTCAATATAAAAAACGAAAATTTATATATTGTTTTCAATCTGTCTTATTTTATCTTCGGTGCTTATAACTTCCGTATTACTACTTGAACTTGGAGCAATACAGTGCATACAGTATAATAGCTACATATTTATTTATAGATGGTCAGTTTACAAATCATAATATAATAGATTAACTGAAGAATTTCATATAAAATGTAATTAGAAGCTCTATATAAAAGTAATAGTTGGTCACGAGTTAGAAAGTGAATTCGGCGACCGGTAAAGCCGGCAGCCGTAACCGTGGGAACCTGGATGTGACGTCACTGGCCACCATTAATTAACAACCTTATGGTGCACGTTTAAGAACCATTATCAAACGATGGAACGATGGTATAAAATCATAATAACCGCCGAATCATACTGGGCATATCGTCGGTAAGTAGGTTGCGCCACGTTCCGCCTACGCGTTCGGGTTTACGAGAACTTATGAATATGTATAGCCCAAGGTCTATGCAGATTGCTTTACCTTTATAGAAATAGTAATAACTCACCTTATTTTACACCAGGTCTACCTTTTTCTATTTGGACTGTATAACGGCTTCATAAATATTACGATACTACATAAACAGGAAACTAAACAAACGTAATATAAAAAAACCTGCTTTAATATTAGATTTATGACGATGAAGTAGTTTATGACTGATATAAGTAATTCCAGTTTTCCAATTATGCCCTTGACACTGAACCCAACTTAAAGGTTTTCGAACATTGAAGGGCACTCCTATGCGTCATGAAACGAAATTATGTATCTTCGTTTTAACGAGTAGAAATTGTTTTCTTTATTAGTATTTAAGAACAGACTTAGCACACTCCCATGACGTAAATGTACTGGAAGCAAAAAAAACCTAGCTCCGAAGGATCAGGCTGAGTCAGGCTAGCGACTTGACACAACTTCTCAAATGCAAATGGCCTTGAGTAGGAATACAGTTATTTGCATCTGCCTTGTGCTATCGCACTTTTAAGGCCTTGCCAAATTTGGATATATGTCTTAAGTTTATATTATAATCTATGTAGTAGTAGCCAATTAACCCTGTTCTGGAAGGATTGCTGCAGCTTTACGTATCTCTGCCACATCAGATATTTTGGACATGAATTTCACTCAACTTTACATCTGGGTGGGATTGAAGAGTTGACAAGCTTGTCCATGCCCTTATTTAAACTACTCCATGTACCAACTATAAAACAAAAGCATTAAAACTGTAATTAAAAAAAAGTTATCTTTTGTCCTCAGACCGCTTCCAGGTTTTCTTTATTCTAGGTATAAGGTACCTATTTACTTCACTCCATATACTATTTAAGTTACTAAAGCGTTTGTATTACAATTGTTAAACATTTCCCTCTTGTTCTCAGACGGGTTCCGGGAAGACGTACACGATGGGCAGCGGATGGGAGGGCGAGGGGGAGGGTGCGGTGGAGAGACGCGGCATCATCCCTCGCGCCATCCGGGACTTGTTCGCCGGCGCCGACCAGCGGGCAGAGGACGCGCGTGCGCAAGGACACCTGCCACCCGAGTTCTCGGTGCAAGCGCAGTTCATAGAGCTGTACAACGAGGATATTGTTGACCTGCTCGACCCTGCTAAGGATCCGTTCGCTAAGGTGCATTGACACGATGTTTTTTTTATTGTAGGGTAGTTTCTGTTTTGCAGGTGGATGCAGATTTCACCTACATGCAGAGCTCATTTCAGATTGTATGGATCTAGGTGTGGCTGGATGCAGCTTGCATTTTCATACAGATCTCGACTCGTTGGCGCTTCCATCCTAAGAACCAGACGCTCGCTGAAGAAGAAGGGATTGAGGACTAACTGCTTGGGCAAATAAGACTGAAAATACACATTAAACTTTGATATTATTCTAGCATATTAGTTTAATTTCTCCACTTCGAAGATATTAAAATTCTAACAATTGGTGAATTTCTAGGGAGCTCTAAGGATAACAGAGGATGGTTGTGGCGGCGTGCGCATCGTGGGAGCTTCCATGCGCGCTGTCAGAAACGTAACCGAAGCGTTGGGAGCGCTGCGTGCCGGTGCTCTCGCCAGGACTACCGCTGCCACCAACATGAACTCCTCTTCGTCGAGGTAAGGATAGTTCCAGAGAGCTCTAAGGATAACATAGGATAACTGTGGCGGCGTTCGCATCTTAGGCGCGTTGATGCGCGCTGTCAGGAACGTGACCGAAGCTCTAGGAGCGCTGCGTGCCGGTGCTCTTGCTAGGGCTACTACTGCCACCATCATGAATTCCTCGTCATCGAGTTAAGGATGCTTATACCTTTGGAATCTTTTTCCAAAGGCGTTTTATTATATATATTATCGCAAGGTTTAAACAACAGTTGAAGCTGAATGCTGCTCTACTGTACGTATATGATGCCTCGCTTTTACAACCTAACTTATGAGCTAACTAAATACGGATTCAGGACTATTTCCGCAATATCAGTAGGAATGTCATTGCAGATTTTGCCGCAACTGTTGCGGGCTTTAATTAATTCGCGATTTAGAGAGTTAATCTTTGTGAAATTATTAGTTTCCCATGGAAACTTCCACCCCCCTTTTCATCCACTTAAAAGATGATTTCTGGAATAAAAACTATGTCTTTTCCCGGGTTTCAAACTATCTCCAATACAATTTTCATCTAAATAGCTTTAGCCGTTTAAGCGTGAAGAGGTAACAGACAAACAAATTTTCGCATTTATAATACATATTAGTTTGGATAGTATGGAGTTTGTTGTATTCTTATTTCTTATTGTATACATAAAAGTGATGGTGGTTATTTAACGCACACGCACGCGCGCGATCGTATCGTATATGAGATTCATACCTACTCGTTTTCCATTTCAGATCACATGCCGTGTTCACATTGCTAATGCGTCAGAGACGACTGGCGGCTGACATGGAGGCGCAGGACAGGGAGGCCGATGCGGAGGCGCCGGAGCAATACGAGACGCTCACAGCCAAGTTCCACTTCGTAGACCTGGCTGGCTCTGAGAGACTCAAACGCACGGGTATGTTTTGATAAGACAATTGTAAGCTGACATTAGGTCTGACTAGAAAAAGAAGACTTGGGATTAAAATATTTAAATTTGTAAATGACATAGGATTCTCGACTTGGATCGCTCGTCTAGGAAAATATTCTCCACCTTACAATAGACTTTAGTAAATTATAGTGTAAAAAGGCTACAACTTCATGATTGTTCCAGTTGTGTAAGTAACATGAAGAAGCATGGGCAATTTGCTATACTTACCTGATATAACAGTCTTTTTAGGGACTCCAGGAGCTCAGTGCTGAAAACAGCAGAGGGTTGCGTTACCTTACCGAGGCCTAAAAGGTGTCTGATTGGTAAACTACATTACCATCACTACATGAACATAATCTAATTATTGTCATTTAAAACTCATATTATCAATAACAATTGTACTTAAATCATTATGCACTGTTTAGCTAGTAATTAAGAATTAAGATACAACAAATTGATAAAAATGGGGTTGAAATGACATATTAATACCAAAAGTCGTAAAAATGCAGTTGAGTGATTAAGGGGCTTCATTCCATATAAGATTTTTTTTGTTTTTCAGGAGCGACAGGGGAGCGTGCCAAAGAGGGTATCTCAATAAACTGCGGTCTTCTCGCGCTCGGCAACGTTATATCAGCACTGGGCGACAAATCACGCAAGGTCCTGCACGTTCCTTACAGAGACTCGAAACTGACGCGATTACTGCAAGACTCTCTCGGGGGTAAGTCTAATTGAATATAAGTGAATACTTCGTGAAAATTCTTAAATCGCGGTAACTAGAACCAGAGTCGATAGATACCTAAGTTTTAATGTGTACTAATCTTTAAAAATAATTACTGTTGATTGCGGTGAAATTATGATTACGGGTTCGACTATGGTTAGAATAGAACAGCTTGCTTTATCCATTAAAGATCTATAATTCTATCATATATATAGCTGCTACTATAGAATAAAGATTATATATGTTATAGTAGCAGGTTATTTGCGAAACCAGAATATCCATTCGTACAATGCCTACTCTGAAAAATTCCATGCTTGCAAAACCTTAATCACCACCAAAAGGAAGTGTTATTTTACTGTGGTCTACTGTAAGGTGAAAGCCACTTCTCAGCTATACCATCAAGCGGATCATGTGCTTTTCGGGCCCAGATCTTCTATACATATAATAAAATAGTTGGAAAGTCAAAACTGTACATTGAATATTTTTTTAAAAGAATACTGGTGTGTGTGATTGACAATCGATACTGAAGCCAAAAATATAGTTTTTAGAATTTTTGACTGTTCGTCTGTATGTATGTCCAGGATAAACTCAAAAAGTACGGATTTACTACTAATTTGGCACGAATATTATTAAGAAGTCGGGTCAACATATAGGCTACATATTATCACGCTATCACCTACGGGGAACGAGCAGTGAACCTTTATTTCTAACTAACTCCACGCGTACGAAGTCGCTTGCGGCCGCTAATCTTTATATATATAATTCTTCTGTGAGTGTGTATGTCACTGAACTTCTCTTAAACGACTGGACCGATTTTGATGAAATTTTTTGTGTGTGTTCAAGGGGATCTGAGAATGGTTTAGATTCAACATTTTGTCCGCTGGACAACTATTTTTTTAGGGCGGTACGAAGTTCGCTGGGTCAGCTAGTATAATTATAAATCCCATCTTTCCCAGGAAACAGCAACACAGTTATGATAGCTTGTGTATCGCCAAGCGATCGGGACTTCATGGAAACCCTCAACACTCTGAAGTACGCGAACCGCGCGAGGAACATCAAGAACCGATGCGTCGTGAACCAGGATCTGACGTCACGCACCATCCATCAACTAAGACAGGAAGTGGCCAGGCTGCAGCTAGAGCTGGCCGAATATAAGCAGGTGAGGTCCTTTGTCACGTGCTTATGTATATCCAGGTTCTACGATGTGACGTCACGCACTATATATGTATTAGCTGACACCCTCGACTCTCTGAAGTACGCGAACCGCGCGAGTAACATCAAGATCCCATGCGTCGTGAACCAGGATCTGAATAACCGGGATCCAGGATCTCAACTAAGACTGGAAGTGGCTAGGCTGCAGCTCGAGCTGGCCGACTTCAAGCAGGTGAGTCTTTTATTTAGCCCGACGTAATGGGAATGGGCACTCTACGGAAAACGAGGGAAACAGGAGGAAAATGCTCACTATAATCCACAGCCGGCTACAGGTTTAACTCATATTCTTACTGGCTAAATACCATCTGAAAAATCCAAGAAACCAATGCCAATCCAGGAAGGGTTTTTTGATGCGACTACCGCTTTGGAGGGAGTGACGCGAACGCCGTCATAGTTTACTATAATTATATAATTGCGGCGGAGGACTGCTCAGGATGTTACTATGTCCCTTGCTATGAACAAATCTTGGGTCGAAGCGTTGAGAACCAGGGTCTGACGTTACGGACCATCCACCAGCTACGACAGGAAGTGGCCAGGCTGCAGCTCGAGCTGACCGAATACAAGCAGGAGAGATACTATGTCCTGTGTTTATGTAGAACCAGGTTCTACGATCTGACACCAAGCACTTTATATGTATCAGCTGAAACCCTGAACACTGAAGTACGCAAAAGCAGGTGAGATACTGTGTCCCGTAAGGGAAAAGCTTGGGGAAATATCGTGATCTTTGCCCTGAGCTGCGGCCCAACGTTGGTCAATCTTGGTCAGGCTTTGTGTACATATATGAATGTGTATGCTTTCAGGTATCGTTAGTACATATCAGCCTATTAATGTCCTTACTACTGGGGCCAATGGATGAAATGGGAGATCGGAGCGTGATCCACCACGCGGGCCCAGTGTAGATTGGTGGGTGCTAACGACTGCAGATGCAGCCGGGACCAATGGCTTAAAGTGCCTTCCGAAGCACGGAGGTGCTCGAGATGGTAAATTTTGGTCACCCATCCAATTACCGACCACTGGAAAGTTGCTTAACTTCAACGATCGCAACCGAACGCGCTAACGACTTGAACCATCGAGCTCCTTAAGGCTTTCCATACTATAATTTGATTTTCATATGGCCATAATTGAGTGCTTTTGCTGGTGGCGCCATCTTTTGACAAGGCGAGTGATGTTTTTGCGCTATTTAGTTATATGTAAGACGTATAGATGACGCCGCCACTTTTAAAAATTTACCTAAGTTGCATATTTCTTTAATATTATTCCTTACCATAATACTCTTTAAAGCTTACTTACCTATTTTATAAGCAACATATCATTTACCTAGATTAAAAGGGAGTTAATTCAAAAACAAAAAATTTAGAATTTACTTTTTTTATATCTAGATGTGCGATATTTTGAATGTTGTACAAAAATCTAACCTACCGAACGTATTTCCCAGGGCAAACGTATAATATCAGAGAACGGCGAGGAAGGCTGGAGCGACGTTGTGCAAGAGAACGCGATATTAACAGCGGAAGTGGAATCGCTCAGAAGACGCGTGAAGGCGATGCAGGGAACTATAGAACAATTGTCGGCGAGGAACAGCGAGCTGTTGGCTGAGAAGGCGTTAGGAAACTGGGCCCCGAAGGACAGCAGTCCTGAAGCTAGCGACTGTTCACTTAGTAAATTAGTTCAGGTACGTGGTTTATAATGTTATCTATAACATTACCGCTAATTTGTATGTTAATAATAGCAGTTAAAAATACTACTACCACTCATCACCAGCCTATTAATGTTCCCACTGCTGGGGCATAGGCCTTTCTTAGGACGGAATAGGGAGATTGGGCCTTGACCCACCACGCGGGCCCAGTGCGGATTGATGGGTGCTAACAACTGCAGATGCAGTCGGGACCGGCTGAACGTGGCTTCGAAGCACGGAGCAGCTTGAAATAGTAAATTTTTGGTCATCCATCCAATAATCGACCACTAGGAAAGTTGCTTAACTTCAACGATCGCAGCCGAACACGCTAACCACTTGCGCCATCGAGCTCCTCTCTCCCACTACCATTCGTTTTTCTAACTTATTAAGTTGTGAAAGAAAAACATGGAAACTACAGCTAATCACTGTAAAGATCAAAACTTGTTGATTGGAGAGTAGCTCTTAGCACAAAATAGATAAAAGGACGTATTGCGCCCCCCTCGAAGGTAATGACCTAAAGTTACCGCTATGGATTTTGACATCATGTGTTGCTAGTCGCGAATGAATAATGCTTGAAACTGCGCAGAAATGACGGTAAACCTAGGTAACGTTAAATGTGTGTGAAACAAAAGACGCGTTGTTTTGAGCTTGGTCATACTCGTCGTACTTTGTGCTCCTTAGTTTTATCTATTCTGTGCAACGATATTAAATACCCTAGATACACCAACACGAACAAAATCGTGCATAAAACCTGTCCAAAAGGTACATTGGACGATTATTATTTATTATATTATTTATTATTTAATGTATACTGTATAAGGTCTTAATTAAAACGCATTTCTTGACAGAAGAGAAGAGTCAGAACGGTTCTATCTAACTATATGCGGAAGAATGAACTTATTTCTCTGACTCTACGCGCAAATCTGAATGCGCTGTTAGCAATATAGTAACAGCGCATGGTACGGACCTCGAGGAAAAGAGACGGTTATTTTACTTACCGTGCATTTGAATATTACAAATATTTTCTATTAAATCAGTTAGTAGTTAGTATTAGAACAAAATTTTCTTCATAATATGCGTTAAATTAACAAACATTGATAAGATACCTTTAAAAAAAACGACACTTTTAAATACTATTAGTATTTTTTTCGCATTTTTCACGGAGCTCTGCGCCAACTTGACTTTTCAACGGTCCGCGCGTGACTGTCAAATAAGAAGTGCTTGAGTGGGGTTCAAGCACTTCTTGATTAGGACACATTTTAAGCGCACGTGGTGTATCTAGGATATATTTTAATATCGTTGATTCTGTGTAAACTCCTTGCGCCTACTCAGTTACTCAAACTGTAACTAAATCAACATCTGGTCTATTTCTCCTTATCTTCATTATTGTTTGTTCTATAAAGTTTTCCTTATATAATTCTCTCTCCTTCTACGTAGGGTTACGTGAGCGAGATAGAAGACCTGCGCGCTCAGTTGATGGAGGCGACGGCTATGTATGAAGCGAGCCGCCGTCGCGAGATGAAAGTCACTCGGACTAGGCACGATTCAACGCACGACGCCTCGTCGATACTGGACGATGCTAAACGAGAGCTGGATAAGGTAATATTAACGCTGACTATTGACTTTTATATTATAGAATGCTATATAAAAACAAAATAACGTACCAATTGTTGGAATCCGTATTTAATATCAATATTAACAGCTATATAACTATTCTGAAAGAACAAACAATTAATAACTTTTTAAAATGATTATTTTGCTCCATGGCCACGAGACCTAAAACGCTTGAGATTGGCCAAGACTAAAATAGCGTCACACGCTAGTAAACCTCAGGCCAAAGTGACATTACATTGTATCGTTTGACGTTTTAATGACAGTCGTGTGACGTCACATACTAGTAAGACGCCATGATGTCCAGAGTAACGTTTTCGCGGCAACTTGAAAATATAATTTTTGATTTAGTTTTTGTTACGAAATAACACAACAATTATAAATATCTACTTTTTATGGACTCCATAAACATAAGTAAATAACGTGAGATCTTAGTCTAAAACTTGTCAAATACCCTATTATGAGTAAAATCATTAACAAAATATTAGTGACTCCCATAGATCAGTGCCTAAACGAGATTTATCACTCTCATTTTCCGAAATAATAAACAAAAAGACCTTTCTACTTTAGCGTTAGTTATACTAAGCGAAATATTGAGCCCGAGGTGAGTTGGTGATTAAAGTGTTTTTTTTTCTTTTCAAATGTTAGAGGAAGACACATACTCCTACTGCCTCGCTTCCTAACGTCTCTCACGCTTTTATGTTTTTTCTTTCTTTCTTCCTATACCTTTAATAAAATAAAATGTAAGACCAACGACCTTATCATTTTCTCACTTTTCAATCTCCAGGGGAGGGAGAGCCCTGGTACTCTGAGATACAGGCGTTCTTCCTAGTTCAGGCACCAGTCTCTCACAATTTATTTTACTGATCTTATATAAAATTATATTATAATAAGTTGTCATGTGTTTTGTTGACTGTGGAAAATGACTCTTATCTCTATAATTTTTATTATTTTTTAAAGCATGTAACTGCTTGATGTTTAAATCTAAAGAAAATATAACTAGAAAAAATTCCACGCGGACCAGGCAGCAGACGGGACTCGAACCCGCACCCTTCGCAATCCGGGCGAATGCACTGACCAATTATGCTACCGCGGCCCTCACGGACCGCGTCGAAATTCCTTCTAGCTATTCTTAAGCTGCAAGGCAGCGCCATCTCTTCGCATTATAGGTAAACCCACAATGTCAAATGAATACTTTTACGAGTATTAAACATTTGAAAGAAGAAATAGCAATTATAGTTATAATTTTTATTATTTTTTAAAGCATGTAACTGCTTGATGTTTAAATCTAAAGAAAATATAACTAGAAAAAATTCCACGCGGACCAGGCAGCAGACGGGACTCGAACCCGCACCCTTCGCAATCCGGGCGAATGCACTGACCAATTATGCTACCGCGGCCCTCACGGACCGCGTCGAAATTCCTTCTAGCTATTCTTAAGCTGCAAGGCAGCGCCATCTCTTCGCATTATAGGTAAACCCACAATGTCAAATGAATACTTTTACAAGTATTAAACATTTGAAAGAAGAAATAGCAATTATAGTTATAATTTTTATTATTTTTTAAAGCATGTAACTGCTTGATGTTTAAATCTAAAGAAAATATAACTAGAAAAAATTCCACGCGGACCAGGCAGCAGACGGGACTCGAACCCGCACCCTTCGCAATCCGGGCGAATGCACTGACCAATTATGCTACCGCGGCCCTCACGGACCGCGTCGAAATTCCTTCTAGCTATTCTTAAGCTGCAAGGCAGCGCCATCTCTTCGCATTATAGGTAAACCCACAATGTCAAATGAATACTTTTACAAGTATTAAACATTTGAAAGAAGAAATAGCAATTATAGTTATAATTTTTATTATTTTTTAAAGCATGTAACTGCTTAATGTTTAAATCTAAAGAAAATTATCTCTAGTCACACTTCGACAAAGTTGCTTTTTCGGGTAGTCTAGAGTATGATTTCATATCTTGACATTTTGATATTAAATAAATGATTATTTTGTCATTAACCGAGTTAAAAAAAAACCTCCTTTTTTAGTTTCTCAATTCATCAGTATATTTTTAAAATACAAAAATTTTAATGTACAGGAAAAAGAACTCCTCGCGCGCAGTATGGGCGAGCTGGAGTTCCATCGTAAGCTGAACATGAGCGACAGCGTGACCGGCTCACTGGAGCGGGACGAGAGGGAACCGCGGGCCTTAGGGGACCGGGACGATAGGGACGCGCGGCCCATAGGGGAACGGGAGCGGGCCGAGGGGGAGAGTGCGGATGACTCTTCTACTTCTGATCATGGCGACGCGTCAGATTCTGATGGAGACGACTCGGAGACTAAAGGTACTAAGTATATTAATCTTAAGAGAATTTTACTGGAAAAAAAATCACCCGGTCCAAGTGTCATTACGGGCAGGATAGGATAAGCTGTTCTTTGTCTCTCTTTCTGTCTCTCCCTCTCTCTTTCTTTCTCACTCTCTACCACAAACTTAGAAAGTAGACCGATAGGGGATTCGGAGGGAACCGAGGGCCATAGGGGGCGAGATTTGAGGCACACGCGGCCCATAGGAGAACGGCAATGGGCCAAGAGGGAGAGTGCGGATGACTCTTCTACTTCTAATCATGTGGACGCGTCAGATTTTGATGGGGATGATTCGGAGACGTAAGGTATTGTACTCATATATGTATGGCAGTGCGAACGGGCCTAGAAGGAGGGAGATTGTGGACGATTTCTCCACTGCCGATTATGAAGACGCGTTTGATTCTGATGGGAATGATTGGGAGACTAAACTTCGTCTCTCTTTCTCGCTAACTCTCTGCTATAGACAGATAGTGGGAACGGGCCGAGGGAATCATAGTGACGCGTCAGATTCTGATGGAGATGATTCGGAGACAAAAGGTGGTATACTCATATTTGTTTTTGCTACAACACTCTGCTATAGACCGATTGGGGTGCTGGAACAGACTAAAAAGGAGTATGCGGACGACTCCTCCAACGATTCCAGCGGAAACGACTCTCTCTAAAATTGTATGAATTACTTTGATTGTAGAGAGCGCGAAATAGAGAAAACCGATGCAGGATATTTTATTTTGGATTTTCTACCACCTTTCTTGATATAACACGTCGCTGTTTTAGGCAAGAATATCTTAATACCTATTTATTCTCATTTTCAATGAAACCTTCTAACGTTATTGCTTTCATATAGGGCAAAGAGTACTATCAGCTCAACTAGCAGCGTTAAGCGAGGACATAGACACGAAGGCGCGTCTCATAGAACAGTTAGAAGTGTCGCAGCGCCGCTTGGCGACGTTGAGACAACACTACGAGCAGAGACTTGATACACTTCATCATCAAATCAAGGCTACGAACGATGAAAGGGACAAAGTACTGGCTTCTTTAGGTATGTTGGCATTGTTTTAACTAGATGATTTCATTAGCTACGTTTTTATCTAGATGATTTGCTTCTAGTTTGTTGTTGAGGTTTAATTTTCATCTATACTCTATACTTTTATATAAAGAGGTTAAAGTTTTTGACAATTGTGACGTTGTGGGGGAAATAATAGAAAGCCATGTTATTTGTGAGTGTCATAGGCAATACGTTACAACAATTATTAATGAATGCGATACTTACTTTATTTTTCGCTGCGACGATTGAATCAGTATTTAGTTTATAATAAAAGACCGCAAATATTTACGGCCTAATAATAGAATTTTTATATTTAAAAATAAATTTTAATTGACTTCGTGGCTTTAATTTTGCTTCAATTACGAATAGACATTAAGTGCCTATTTACCGAACAAGTAAAGTTTTTGTGTTCTGTAATGATTTAAAAAATCCATTGGCTCATATCATCACAATCATAACATGAAAGATCGTGAAAATTAACGATTATATAAGATTCAGGTTGTTTAGAGATATTATTAAGCTAATAGTTCATTATTTGTTCTTCTCCTTGCCACTCCTCATTAATAGTCTTTCGAGCTAAAACATTAATACGTTTGACCATCCAACATTGTAAACATCCGAATTCGACAGCGTCCCAAGCATCACCGCCGAGCGATAAATTGAAGCGCGTCAAAGAAGAGTACGAAAGACGTGTGTCCACTATGTCACGGGAACTGAGACGTCTGCAAGCGGCGCAACGGGAACACACGCGTCTACAACGGTCGCAGCAACAAACCGCCAGCCAGCTGTTAGCGCTGCGCAACGAGCTGCAGAACATGAAACGGGACAAGGTGCGTACTGTGGACCCTGACCCCTCGTTTACACCGAAAAACAAGTCATAAACTAGTTTTGCACAAAACTGTATGCTTATTGTGGTTGTTTAAACCCACGTCTGTGTAAGTGTAAAAAACATGACTCTAAGTTTGTTTTCTTTTACAGGTAAAATTAGTACAGAGGATGCGAACAGAAGCTAAACGTCATGCACAAGCCGAAGCCGCGAGAGCCAAAGAGGTAATAAATACTTGTGAACTATTTTTAAATTTATTTTTTTATTAATGAACTTTTTGTAAAAAATGTTAATTATTTTTAGGTGGCGCAACTGCGTAAAGAATCGCGGAAGAATGCAAACCTAATCAGATCATTGGAGGCTGAAACTAAGCTCAAAGAACAGGTAATAAGAAAGTCTTTTCTTACTTCAGAAATATTTATTAGTTTGATGATATACATTTAACAAAACTAACGACTACTTATTAAGATCAACGGTCCAAGCATGAATTTTGACAGCTCCGTGTAATCGTATCGTCATCATCAAATTTTGTATGGCAGGAATCACTTTGTTCTTACGTCCGGTAGGGGCGTCGCTAAGTTTTCATATAAACTTTAACGTTTCGATCCTCCGATCACATTTATTCGACCCCTTAAAAGTTGATATAGCGACAAAAATAATTGTTTATGATATTGTTTTATAAAGATACATAGATTTGATTTTAATTGACAGTAGACAGCACTGAAATAAGCATACATTTTACTTATCGACATAGGTATTGAAACGGAAACAAGAGGAGGTGTCACTACTGAGACGTGGCCACAGAGATAAACTCAGCAGTCGAGCCGCTGGCAGATTACATGGTAAGTAAAATACAATAGTAATAAAAAAAATAGCGCCTTACTCGACACTTCTTACTATTGAAAGCAATTCGACAATCGAAAAATATCTACAAATTTCAAATGTCCAATTGTAAAGTATCATTATACGAGTTGAATGAGAGAGCTGTGTTTATTTTGTCGGCACTTCTTTTGGCTATTCGTGTTTGCTATTTGTAAACTTAACATCAGTCTATCCTTTTCATTTCTTATAAAGCATGATATGGACAGACTATTGTCAAGTTTACAAATACCAAATACGTATAGCCAAGTAAAGTGCCGTCATTGGATATGTGTTGTTGTGTAATTATTCACTGTGTGCAAATTAAGCCGGATCTTTTACGCAGTGTTTTTGTAGATGTGCATCTTACATAATGTTTTGTTAACTTAGCCATAATTACGACGTGACTTTTTTATTGAAACAAATTTTTTTAAGTAAAAAAATATTTTTTAGCGATTATATTTGAGATTCTCTTATTAAGCGTGAATTTTCTAATATTTTCCTTTTTACCCTCAGAACGCAGCCGTAGAAATCGCATGACTCTATGCCGTGAAGCGTGGTCTAAGCTCGAATGCTGGGTGTCTCGCTCGTGCGCTGCCCGCAGCACTCTGGCCGAGCTGGAACAACAGCTGGAGCAGCAGCTGCGACAGCGGGACCGCGCCATAAGGGACCCCACGCCGGATCCAGACGCTGAGCATCTGCTGAGATATCTGCGCGCCGCCATTGCTGACACGCAGACGCAGATCATGCAGATAGAGGTAGGTGCCGGCCCATAGTTTGAGCTCAGCAGCTGCGGCAGCGGGACCGCGCCATAAGAGACCCCGACGCTGAGCATCTGCTGCGATACCTGCGCGCCGCCATTGCTGACACGCAGACGCAGATAATGCAGATAGAGGTATGGGAAAAATGGGCCCATTTTTCATGTCCGACTCTGGCTATGCTTAGCATTAGCTACATCGGAGTGACGTGAACGTGCCCATAAAGTTGAAAATTGTGGCAGTAGGTAGCCTGGAGTTTTTAGTGGCTGCAAAGCTACTATCTGTGGTGGGCATTATGCAGTCTATAATTTAGATTAAATGAACATTTTATTCTTTTGGTATTAGAATTCGCAATAATTCTTATTATATCGAGAGTATTATTTCAAAGAACCACCTATACATACTTTGGGTGTGTATAGGTGGTTCTTTGAAATCACGGCGACGGCAGACCCTGTGGCGGGTCTTCCGTCGCAGTGCTGCTCTATGAAATAACATGAAACAAACACTCGGATCGGACGTCCGCTCCGTGCTCCCGCTTAATGCAGAGCAGGCCCAAAATGTTATTGTCCGTAGTTTGTTTTTGGTAGTGCGAACGTCTTATAAATTTCGTCTTCAAACAGGAGGAGAACGACGAGAACGAGTTGACTGCGCTGCTGGAGCTGATCGAGTCGGCTGAAGTGGGCCGCTACGCTCTGGAGAGGCTGGCGGCGCTGGCGTTGCAACACGCGCAAGATGCAGCGCGTGCGCGTGCGCTGTTAGCTCAAACCAACGCGCAGCTTAAGGAGGTGCGTGTTCTACACTTGTATATTACCCGGGCCCGGTGTAGGGGCTGCTAGCGCTGGAGCGATTGACTTCGGTTGGCTTCAAGTTAAAACTGTAAACACTAACAGCAGTCACAGCCATGAACCACCAGCCAGCTGCGCCACACAACGTTACAGAACATGAAACTGGGATAATGAAAGTTTCCTTAACCTAAAAAATCAGATAAGTGTGAGCCGGGATTCACCCACCGAGGGTTTCGTAGAGTTTGTAAGTGCACAACATAAACGGCCGTATCTTTTTACCTGTTAACTTAGAAGTGTAATTTTTTACAGCTTTAATGGGGCTTTGATATGAGTATATTATAAGGTTTAAATTTAAACTTGATATTTCCACCCGTTCCTGAGATAAAGGGCTTTACAGGCAGACAGGCGGTCAAAAAATCTGATCCTGTAAGACGTTTTAGCCTTTTATGGGTAGGGTATTCTAAAACTAACATTCATTTGTTTATATCGCAGATGGAAGAGAATTCGGAGCGGGCAGCGAGTGCATTACGAGCGGCGGGTGCAGGCGGGGATCCGAACTTAAACGCGTGGGGAGCGCCGCACGCGTTAGCCGCGCTACTGGCGCACGTGTCGTCTGGCACGTGCACGCGCGCCGTGTCGCCCGTGGACAGGTAACCATGGCAACCTGACGCCGTGCATAGAGGTATAAGAATAGAGCGGGGAAGGCAGCTCTAAAAGTGTCCATCTAGTAGCTAGAGAAGGAAGATGAAAGACCGGTAGCTATCTCTCTCTCTTGTGACGCATGCGCATTAGTCGTTGATCCAAGCATCACATCGAAATAGTAACATGCTTACGGTTGCCAATAGAGTAGATGCGCGAATAGAGAGAGAAAGCTAGCGGTCTCTTATTTTCTTTCTCTTTCTATTAGGGGCACACTTCCCCTTGTAGTAGAGTCTATATCTCCCCTACTCTATTCTTATATCTCTATGGTAGGGAGCGCCGCACGCTCTAGCCGCGCTGCTGGCGTACTTTGCGCCCGGTACTTGTCGCCCGTGGACAGGTAACCATGGCAACCTGACGCCGTGAACCCGTGGACAGAAACCATGGCAACCAGAACGTGTAGAGATGTCCGCACGTTGCGCTCGGTACGTGCACGCACGCTGTGTCGCCTGTGGACAGGTAACCATGGCAACCTGATGACGTGCACCCGGGGACGGAAACCATGGCAACCAGAACGCGTAGCATAGAGATTAGAGATAAGGAGAACGATCGCTGTAGAAAATAAGTGTCCCAGAAATAAGGACAAAATAAGTGAGGCGCTGCGATCGCTAAGATGACTTGATAAAAGCGGGCTAATTTGAAATGACCAATGCCGCGAAGAAAATTTGTACAATATTCAACTAGCTTCATCTACTTGTACTCATAAACAGCTAACTTCACATATACTACTTACCGACGGCAGCGCGGCTGGTGGCTGAAAAATGAACTATAAATTCTACAAATTTTCAGGGTCAAGCGGGCTAATGCCTTAGTACGTAGCGATCGTTCTCCTTCTCTCTTACCTCCATGACGCGGAGGGAGAGCCGCACGTTTTGGCCGCGCTGCTGCTGGCTCACGTCGTCCGGCACGTGCACGTGGATAAATAACCTCAGCAACCGCATCCGGTGCCGTGTTGAAGAGAAGAAACGAAACACAAATCTTTTTATTTAGTTTGCTTACAAAAAAATAAAACGTCATATGCTTTAAATAAAGGCACCTCAGAACAAGAACCAAAGCATAGAAATAATGCTATGACGCTTGAGAGTACACTCCCATAGACATTTCACAACAAAGTATTACCCAACCAAAAAGTATTAATGGTGTTGGCAGGTTGCATATGACATTAGATCGCTTTTTGATTCGGTATCGTAAGATTGACAATAATTTGACGTTTGTATATGATACGCACGCTATTCATAGCAACATTTATATTTATATGTCCCTTTTTTGGTTATTATGTAAACATAAAATAATGAGTCGAATTTATAAGTTAAATTCTTTCTTTGCTTTACTTCTTGTTCTGTGACAGGCACAGAAAATTACCCCACTCCTAATTTATATCTATGATACATTGCGATGATAGACAGAAAAATGTGTCGCTGCAGCGATCTTCATAGTTTTTACCAGGTTTGTAATATCTCGCCATTTTTCTTTTAAAATGTTATTTTTCTTTTAAAGTTCGTTACAAGATACGCACCGGGCTTCGAACGGCGTCCGCGAAGTTGTTACAGCGCCCGCGTCTCCTCCCGATGACAACTTTAACTCACCTTTCCAGAGGAACACGTAAGAACGTTTAATAAAGATTTTCTTAATAATTATATTGATTTCGGATGAACTGATAGTATTCATGTATGTCTGTGTCGTTGCCGATGAAGTCTGTAGAATATCAGCATTGTCAACTAAGTCTTGACAAATGTTTGTTTCATTCCTTAAAACCACGTGATGTATGATTGCCAAATAGTGTGCTATTTACTGATAGTTTTCTTAGTTATTTGTAAATTTGACGGCAGTCCTTCTAGTACAAGATCCCAAAGCCAGAGCCAGATCTTACTTATCTTCTAATGGATAAGTATCTTAGTGGCGTTATAATCACTGGAAATTGGATCACTAAATAGCTCGGTGATTATCACTTCCATCTGTCAAAAGCAGTTAGCGAAAAGTCCTACTGCGTGTGTACGGACGGGCAGATGACCCCACGACCCAGTCGTTGGTAGAACAAAGTCCATACCTATTAAGCTAACATGATTTTTGTCGTGTGAGACGTGGTTCTGAACAATTATGAGGTCAGGGTGTCTACGGGCGGAAGGATTACCCCATGACATAGCCATTGGTGGAACAAACTCTATACTTATTAAGCTAACATGATTATTTGTCGCGTGAGGCGTGGTTCTGTACGGTTACGCGACCTGGGTGTGTACATGCGGGAAGATGATCCCATGACACAGTCGTTAGTGGAACAAACTACATTATGCTAACACCATTTTGTGTAGCGTGAGGCGTGGCTCTGTACGATTACGCGACCTGGGTGTGTACGGGCGGGAGGATGACCCCATGACACAGTCGTTGGTGGAACAAACTCCACCCAGGCCAGCGCCACTAAGTCGCGTTCCCAGTGCTCCTGGCAGCCTCAGGTATGCTGAAAATTATGTATATTTCAAGGTTTAATGCACTACATTGTTTCAAAGACCTCCGTGGCCGAGTGGTTTGTACGCCGGGTTTCATGGTGTCGGGTTTGAATCCCGGTGGGGGCAGATTTTTGTATGATGAACACGAGCATTTGTACTCCAGTCATAGATATTTAATATATATCTCTACATAAATATACTTATGTATCAGTATAATGTATTCCATCCGTTACCCTAGAATCCCATAACACAAGCCAACAGTGCTTTCTTTGAAGCTAATTGGTGTGAGTGGTATAAATATTTATTTATTTTACAAAAAATCCTACACCTTAGTCTCACATAAGAGAGGGATCTCTTCAATTAATCTGCCGCTTGTAATCGTCGTTTTAAAACATTAAAAATCGGCTAGACTAAAACTGTTAGAATTGTATTTTATTTCGTGCTTTGTTGGTTCCGGCTGCATCTACGGCTATATTAATACAGTACTGTGTCTGCGTGATCATACCCTATTCTTTCTATTCTGTTCATATGGAAGGCCTAAACCTCCGCGGTGAAGAAATTAATTAGCAGATAAATTATTAAATTTATCTATTAGCATCCACTCGAAACATGGTCCATATTATAGTTAGTTTATTTTAAAAATTAAAGTTTATTTTTCCACTATAAAAAGTATCCTGTCTCTATCCTGGTAATATAAACTTTATGTATGCCAAATCTACTATATAAAAATAAGTCGGGTTTTCCTTCCTGACGCTATAACTCCAGAATGCACGAACCGATTTCCACGGTTTTGCATTCGTTGGAAAGGTCTCGGGCTCCGTGAGGTTTATAGCAAAGAAAATTCAGGAAAAATTTCAAAAAAAAAAGTCCAAACGAAATGTTACATAAAACGAAGCCATCTGATGGCGAAACGGAGTTCGCCTGGTTTGCTAGTTTGATCTAAATCCTTTAAGACGTTTCTGTGTGGTCGAGGAACAAACATTGTGTGGGATTTCTCAAACGCGACTAACAACTTCACACGAATCTGACCCCTAAAACAATAATATTAAACACGCGATTATTTTAATCGCAAACGTTGTAAGGCTATGGTGGCCGCTTACCATCAAGCGGGCCATATGCTTGTTTGCCATCCTTTTAGCATTTATTTATTAATTATAAAGACAATCTCGATAACAATCTCAAACAGCTCGATATATTTCGACATGAAAATTTGTTTGTAATTTTGTAGGCCAATTACGATCATCCACTTTGTAACATCGAATCTCTCTGAATATGTATGTACTTAAAAATACATGTGTTTACACATAAAACATTTGTCTGCACATAAATATAATTAGGTATTTATACATACCTATAAATAAAAATATGATTATGTAAATATGAAGTTAATCGTGCATTTAATATCACATAAGGAAAAAACAAATTGCAGTTGCCTCTTCATAAACCCTACCTCTAAATTGTGGACAAAGAGACTTCTGTACTAGTCTGGATTGGTGCCTACAACAATGCTAAATGGGGTTGATTTACTACTTCTCCAATTAAATTGTTATTATTTATTATTAACATTGAAAAACGCATTTGGTTCAGAGGGCTAACTCCCCTTGGGGCGTCGTCACCAGTGTCCCCGCGCCGCGTGCCCGACAGCCCGCGACTCCCGCGAAGACATGTACCCGTGCCCGTGCCGCCTAAACCATCCTTGTAAGTAAAATAACTGAAATACAAAACACAAACACTTCAAATTATAATGCTGTTTCAAGAAATTGCACACTATATAACACATAACAAAGCACTGTGTTTTATTTGGCCGAAAAAAAGTCCCTCTTCTGTTTTTCGCTGTAACTGATCAAGAGACACACATAAAATGTACGAGTAAAATACCCAAGTGTCTATCTTAAATACTTTTTTTTTAAATCATGAACTTTACATGACCATATCGTGAAAAACAAAAATATTAATTCTGGAAGCGTAACTGACAAAGGCGTTCATTTGAAATAAATATGGTCTAATAGAACATATTTAGGCGCGTGTTTTAAAATTATATTTTTTAGAAATCCATTACTATGGGTCAAATAAAACACTGCGCAAAGATAGATCATAACACGAACGAATATGAATATAGTACTTAATAACAATTGCCGACAGTCGGCCGTTTGCCGTTTGAAGGGCTAATATATATTTTTAAGGTCTTGAATCCTTATGCCCCATAACATAACACAGACAGATCATAACACGAATGAATATGTTGGTGACTTAAAATTTATTAGAGACCATTTTCAATAACTGAATCTTCAATAACATGTGAGACGGTAAGAAACCTCTTGGTTGTATGAACTTACCAGCAAGTACAATTAACATTCTGGAAGTTATAAAATAGTAAACAACATTACTACAACCAACACATAACTGTTTGACTAACTATTATAGAAGATAAGCCCATGTAAGGGCAGCATAACGTACCTATTGTCTCGCTATTACTTAAACTGCTTGCTATTACTGAAATCAAAAACACCTTGAAACATTATTATGAATGTTATATGTAAAATACAAAGTTATATTTTGTAATCTTTTAACTATCTACTCTTTGTATAAAATAGCCCATAGCTTTTTAAATTACCAAATCAAGGTATTAGTTTAGTGCTTGTGTAGATATTTCTCTGTCTATCCCCTTCCCTCCGCAATCTCGCCACTGTCCGCATGGTACACTGCTTGGGTATATGTGCTATTAGATGACGTAGGGGTTAGATGGTATGTAGTTCCAATTAAACTGTATTGTTGTTTGTTTATAGAATGTATGGTGTTGATCAAACATCATGCGGGCATTTCACGTGGCTATTCGTATCATTTGCTATTTGTCATTTTGACAGCAGGTTGTCCGCATCATACTATTAAAGGAGTGAAAAGGAGCTACTAGTGTCAAGTTTACATATGGCAAACACGAATAGACATGTAAATGTCTGGGATCACTATAGATAAACAATGACTACGTCACGTAATGTATTGCAAAAATACTGTCACTACACGCCATTTCTTTCTTCTTTGCAAGACAACGAAAGTCGCAGAAATTCTAATACAACCATGTAAGAAAATATGGTTTAAGAATACCTTATTGTACATGGTTGCTTAAAAGCTTTACAATAAATAAGTACAGTATTTTTGCAACACGTTTTATAATAGTATTTGATAAACCCTAAGTATGTAGATTGTTAGATGTTTACAATAACTATAACGTTAATCACATGTGCAATGTATGAATAAATTGGCACAAATCTGTTCTTTTTCTTCTAAATTTCCTTAAAACGGCAATGTTTACTAATATTTTATATTCAAATACCTTTGGCTTCGAAAGTAAGAAATATCTTCTAGGGCTTATTAAAGGGCAGTAGACTCAAATTTTAGAAGTTTATACGACTTTCAATCTAAAATAAAAGAGATTTAATTGAATCCTCTCCAAAGTTAAGTTTCTTAATTTACTAGACTTCTTAATTTTTGTGGAAGAGGGAAACGTCAAGAAAAAACTAATTAGGATAGAATGAGAGGGCGCCAGTGTTAGTGTAGAGAATAAACAAACTACTCTTCTCACACGACCGCTTCTTGTCATTCTACTTTAGCTTGTAATTTCAATGCAGTTTTCACAGAAAAGTATTTATTACTACTATTTACGTCACTTTCTAATGAGTTAAAATCTGTATATGCAAATTCTAACTTAAGCTACTACCCTATTCTATCTTGACACTTAGTACTCTGTTAGACGAAATTCTCTTTAAAACACCCGCTGCATTGCACACGTGAAACAACGTACGGTGTGCGAGAGGCGGGGAAGGTGGTGGTGAGTGGTCGCGGCGGCGGCTCACTCGTGACTGGTTACTTGCAGCCTGCTGACTGAGCTCTCCATAGTCGAGGACTGACTTGCCCCGGGCAACCACTCTACGGAGACCCGTGGCGCTGACGCCGGTAGTGAACCATCGATAGCCTAGCTAGCCAATGCGTAACGATCGGATGGCATAAGTATTTGGAAACGTTGATAATTCCCTCACAAGCAAACAAAAAGTTAATCTTATCCAGCGCGAAGGACCAAAAACTAGTCATCAGTTTACGAATACTACATGCACATTTTGATCGAATGTCGTAGCATGCTCGTCTCCGTCTGTCAAACGATATGCAAGAATCGCAATGCCTTTACAGTTAGTGCAATATAACCGCTTAACAATTGCCAAATACTTTGCAATATCAAAGATATCTATCTCTCAATTAAATGTTGCCAAACTAAGTTAGTTGTAAGTTTCAACGAATAAAGATTAATTAACAAAATATTAGCCAAAGTAATAACAATAAGTATTCATTGACACTACAGAATAGTATAGTTCTTCATATTTACAAGCTTTATAAGAAGAATCGAATAAAACGGGATCAAATTTGATGTATTAACTCGTATACGTTTATTTATTCGGATAAAATGTATTAACTAATAATAACTAATCGTCCAAAGGCAGCTGGTTAAGCTTATGAAGCTTATTTTATATGAAGTATATAGCTTTAAGTTTTGGTCACAAATTTATGTAACTTTAGCTTTAACTGCCAATGTATATATAGGTGTAATATATGACGTAAGTAATAAAATGTTGGAAGTAAGCTTTTGTTTGTCTGCATCCCCTGGCATGACGCACTACGCGCTTTGTGTTTACAGCATGAATATCGATATTCTTCAATTAACTTTTGAAAGTACTACAGTATATAAATGTGCTTAATGTGAAATAGTTTACTTGTTGAATCAGTATTAATATTATAAAGATGAAAGATTTGATTGATTTTTTGTATGTTTGTTTGTATTGAATAGGCTCCGAAACTACGGGACCCATTTAAAAAAAATCTTACATATTTGGAATCCGACATTATCCCTGATGAACATAGGCTATAGAGTATTTACAAAAAAGTTAGGGTTCCGTATGAAGAATTCCATAATGTTACCTAGGGTGTGAATAAAATACCATTATATCGCTTACGCTGCGTAAGTCATTGACAATAGAGAAAAGTGATGTACTGAAGTTTTATAGAGGACATAAATATCTACATAAAATCAAGGATATCATATGTGCAGTTGTACCCGCGTTTTTTTTTTGAGGAAATAGGTTATAATGAGTCAAACTTAAAATTGGGTATATGCTGTGGCGGACGTTTTTACAGAACTTTCAAAAGAGAAAAATTCTGTCATACGTGATTTTTGTGTAACTAACTTTATTCATTTACGCAGGGCACGCAACGGAATCTCCGAAATGGAATATGTTTACCCGTTTTGCAATATTTTACATTGATACTCCGTCCTACTTGTCGTAGTGTAATATTATATAGCCTTAAGTCTTCCTCAATAAATGCACTGTCTAACACAAAAATATTTTTTTAAATCGGACCAATAGTTCCTGAGCGCAAATCGCTCAACATTCAACCTAAAAATATGCATCGGTACAAAGGGTCTCAAAATAGTTTCACTATTAGTTAAATAATAATTATATAAATAAATTCATTGTGTATAATACAAGCCTGAGAACAAAAACTATAGTTTACACAACAGCTCTACACCAAAGCGAAGCGAGGGCGGGCCACTAATATTTAATTTCTAAATAAATTGATTAACAATGCAGTGAACATTGTAAAAAATATATTGGTTATGTTTACTTATGACACTGTTTTTTCATTCGTTCACTCTGTTTCTATGTTTTTGTTTAGCATCATTTGCAAAAAGCACTGTATTTTTGTATGCTAGTAAGCATTTCGTATTATTTTTTAACTATTTTTTGTTTTCCACTAGAAATTTTAGAGTAAAGTAGATGTAACATGTTCAATTGGATGTTTTAGAATAAGCACAGTTTAAAGGAAGTCGTCCATATAGTATAGTTACAGGATGTTGTATACAATTACTCAAAGCAAAAGTAAGTATTTAATGTTTCAATATTGTTAAAAATAACTAATGCCTCTGCATGTTCGTGTCTCATTTCACATATTTATTCATGTTGCCTGTTTGTTACTACTAACACGGTATGTCTATTGTCTCTAAAGCTTATGAACTAATAGAGGATTTTCAATAGTTACAAACACGTTTCATAAACATACGAAACGACTACAATTTTGTTACTTATCAAATTTGAGACAATCTAACTCTTTATTTTTTATGAGTTTAGTAAAAATTATATTATACAACTTGAGCCGTGAAATGCTGAAAATGGGTTTACTGCTTTGTTTTCTTACCAAGAAGTTGTTTATTTTTATATAGCCCCCCTGACAGTATGTGATTACCATTGTCTATTAGGCACCTGCAATACCAGGCTGTAATATTTGCAAATTGTTTATTTTGACACCAAAAAATCTCACCATCTCTGTCCTCATAGAGCTTTTCTCTCTGAGTTTTTTTATAACTGGGTAAAGATTACGATGAATTGAATATTATAGCATATGTCTGATAAATATTTTAAATCTGAATGAAACTTACATCATCATCGCTGTGTAGGTAACACATTTCATGCAATATACAAGGTACATAAGTAGATTTCAAGCCTATCATAAGCAAAAATTTCGATTAAATCATAATCAAAGGCTACCAATTTCATTTATAATAAACATTATCTTCCATAAATGAAACTTTCCAAAAATCATAATCAAACACGACCGATTTCATTTTATTAAAAAACTTATTAATATACCACATTCTTCCCAAATCAGTTGACCGATTAATATGGTACACATTACATACAAACATGAAGGTGAAACATATCATTACTTACGCAAAAGTATTGTCTTATAAGTGCGATTCAAAACTTTATGGTGGCCGTGAAGTTAGCAAAGAGCGTAGGTTTCAGTTCAGTGAAATACCGCGCGTGCCGCCGCCGTTTAGTTTGAATCGCTCTCTGTTTGGTTGTGTCCGTTTTGCGGCTTCAGCTAACGCTTGCGACTAACACAGAGACAGCGTGGCAGTGAACAATACTCCACCCGCGTCGCCGGGCGCCACAAGGCGGGCCAGGGACGACGACGTGTTCCTACGGCTCGCCGGAGCGCCGGACAGTTCGCCACAGGGCATTGTCAAGGAGGTACCACTCAAGGTAAAAAAAATGTCCACTTCATATATTCTCGTATTCCTTCTTTACAAAATACCATAATATATGGCAAAATACGAGAATCATAGCTGAAACTCCCAGGATATGAGCATGGTTAAACATAGCCATAACTCATTGACGCCAAATTTGCCATTGTTTTAATGTTAATTCAAGACATTGTCAATGATTGATCGTGACAGTCGTCTAACATGTGTTCTGGGAGTATTTGAAACAAAAGCCTTTTTTTCTGCAGCAGAAGTTCTTTTATAATAATAACTCCACTGTCGAATATATGAAGACAAATTGTGGAGCAAACGTATCCAAACTCGTACTCTAGAATGATTTTTTTATTAATAATGTTAGTACAAAAACGTATATGATTTAGTCTACTTAGTACGTACGGTCAACAGTCATATGTAGCTTTATAAATGTAACGGGTTAAAACGCGCACTTTATTAAACTTTTTTGTACCTTCTTCATCCTGACGTTTCTACAAGTCGTGGTCACGGAGCGACTCAACGTCGGGGCAATGATGGTACGAAAACCTTTAACAAAGTGTGTGTTATACCCGGTTATATTTATAATGCAACGCGAAAGTTTCAAAGCATTTAGGTAAGTTTTATCTTATCAAACTCATCGTAGTTTGATAAGATAAAACTTACCTGTTTGGTAAGTATGTGTTTCGCCCCTGAGCAGCGTGTGAGTGGCGGGGGCGCAGCGGGCAGCGGCTCGTGGCTGTCGTGCACGCACGTGTGCGAGGGGCACGCCGGCGCCGCTCTCGCTCTCGCCGCCACCAACCATCTCCTCTACAGCGGGGGCGTTGGTGAGTAGCATAGCATTACACTTAGCTCACTCTACTTTATACTGATTCTCATAGTTTACGTTATATTTTATAGTGTGTTGAAAATTTACCCAGATTTCAGTATGAAATATCCTCTAGAGAAGGCCTTTGGCCGGGAGTTTTATGAAATAGGGAGATTGGGCCATGAGCCATCACTCAGGCCCAGTACGGGTTGGTGGATGCTAACAACTGCAGATCCAGCCGGAACCAACGGCTTAACGTGTCTTCCAAGGCAGTTAGGAGCTTGAGATAATAATTTTGGTCACCCATTCAATGTCTGACCACTGCGAAAGTTGCTTAACGCAGCCGAACGCACCGCTTAACCTAACCTAACCACTTGCGCCATGGAGCTGCTCTTCTGATTTCCCTACTTTACGTTATTTTTCATAGTGTGTTGAAAATTACCCCAGATTTCTGTATGGAATACCTACCAGCAATGTAAATTGGTGGATTTTGCTTTATCGTAGTACAGATTTTGTAAGTTGTTTGCGAAAACTTTATATAACATCTGCGATAACCGGCGAGCGCTTTCACAAGCAAATGTGTTTCGTGACAAATAAACACTAACCTCTTTATTAATCGACATAGAATATCATTGAACAAGTTTCGCAGTGCTTTGTGCTTTTTATCAAATTAGGAATGTTATTTTAGTTATGTGAACTACACATTGTTTATAATGCTATTCTAACTTTATGATAATACTTTAAAATGGACTTGCACTAACTTCAACTACCATTTAGTTTGTTCTTCGTTTATAAATAAGAGGTTTACGTGTATTCCGTTTGCGTTTAGACCGTACAGTCCGCGGTTGGGACTTGACCGCGGGAGCGGAGGTGTGGCGCGGATGGTGCGGCGGCGCGGTGACCGCGTTAGCAGCCACAGGGGAAGGGGAGGGGGAGATACATGAAGACAGCGGCCGTTTGTTGTTAGCCGCCGCTGGTGCCGCCGTACGGATCTTCGACGTGCGCAGTCGAACGCCCGTCAACACACTCTGGTAATTAAATAATAATATTTGGATTTTTAAATGTTGTTACATTATACTTTTAATCTTGTGAAGTTTTTTCGCTTGGTTTTCTCCGCAGCAAAAAAATATGTCCAATAACTAGTGGTAGGGAAAAAAATGTTTGGACGATTCAAAAGAGTTGTACTGTATATCTAATTTGAATAAAGATATATTGATTTTCGATTTCTGAAATGACTGATCTAATCATATACTCGTGATCCTCTGCCATGGAATGTTGCACTAGCATCTAGTCAGCTAGTTCGTTGATCGCATTTCAATAAATAAAACGCTGTGCCCGCCGCAACAGAGGAAGGGGAAACACACGAGGATAGCGATCGTCTATTGCTAGGCGCCACCGGCAGGATCTTCGACGTGCGCAGCCGGACACTTATTAAGACACTATGGCAAATATTCATTGACGAAAACCAGTGGTTCATAACCGCTGGTCCCTGGAAGCACTCGAAGTGGTCCGCGAAGCCATTCGAAAAAATATTGCATAAGTAAGAGAACGCTAATTGATTTATTATACCTAGGGATCAAAACGTTAGCCGTGGTCCATGGCAAGACAGAAATTTTGACAAATGGTTCCTCGTTTTTAAAAGTTGAAGAACCACTGATCTAAACAGACACATAATGAAGTGATCTGATCTGAATAAGTTCTCCTGTGAATTACTGCTGGCTGCCGCAGTCCTCATGTTCGATGCAAGCTCTGGTTATGACCTTGCGAATTGCGACATTTACACACTTTCGCGAGTAGCTCATAGCGGGCTTCAATATCATCAGACAAATAAATATATCAGCTATTTCTGTGTCCTACCATCCGGATTTTAGATGTGCGCAGTAAAACTGTCAAACTGTGTAAGTCTACACGGTCAATAACATAGTTCAAGTTACAGCTATATGAATATTATTGCTATGAACTACTGTTGGCTAATAAAATTTAAGTCTAAATGTATCCTTCTAGTTTTTTCATATAATATGTTTGCTACTAAAATGTTGTATATAACTTCCTACAACACAGGTCATCTGGGGCGACGGGGGCTTGCGGTGCTCGGGGAGTGGGGGAGGTGGCGGTAACCGCGCTGGCGCTGGCCAATCAGCAGCGCCTGTACACCGCCGCGGGGGACAAGCTGCGATTGTGGGACTTGAGGATGTAAGTATTGGGTTTTCCACAACGATATTAAATATCCTAGATACACCAACACGAACAAAATCGTGCCAGAAACCTGTCCAAAAGGTACATCGGACAATCCACTAGGCTCCGTAGGACGATGGCATTGTCAAAAACAATATAAGGCATTATTTAAACATTGAAAGTCACCTCTAATGCATACTGGATAAGGTCTTAATTAAAACGTATGCGCCAAAGAGCTATGATAAAGAGTTCGAAATACAAGCTCGCAAAATTTTACGACTTATTGCTATGCGGAAGAATATATACCTTATTTCTTTGACTCTACGCGCAATTCTGAATGCGCTGTTAGCAATATAGCAGGTACGAGCCGCGAGAAAAAGAGATAACTATATAACCGACCATGCATTTGAATATCACAATTTTTTTCTATTAAATCAGTTTATAGTAAGTATTAGAATAAAATTTGGTTCAAATGCGATAAATTACAAACATTGCATGGCCTGACGATAAATCGACACTTTACGTATTATAAGTATTTCTTTCGCATTTTTTCACAGAACTCTGCGACATTTTGACTTTTCAACATTCCGCGCGTGACTGTGAACCAAGAAGTGCTTGAGGGGCGTTCAAGTACTTCTATATATAATAAGTCGTATACATATTACGTCATATTTTGTATGTCATTCATGGTCATTTACCTTCCTGAATTGCCCCCCATGTTCTTATAGATCTTTGTCAGACTGTAGTCTTCTGTAAAGGGGAGGTTCCTTACGCAGATGAGTGCTCCAATTTAAACCGAAAATCTGCTATGCTTCTTATTTTTTCAAAAAACAAATAACGTTGACAAAGGTTAACGCTAGTATTTTTGTTTAGGATGGAGTGCGTATGCAAGGTGTGGTCGGGACACGCGGCAGCCGTTATGTGCCTGGTGGTGGGGCGTGGGGTCGGTGACCTCCTCGCTACCGGCTCGAAGGACCACTACGTGCGGACACTGGATATGTTGCCGCAAGACACAGGTACTGTGATGTTAGAGGGACAGTAGTGAGGTGTGTTGATAATGTGCCTGGTGGGGCGTGGGGTCGGTGACTTGCTCGCTACCTGCTCGAAGGACCACTACGTGCGGACACTGGATATGTAGCCGCAAGACACAGGTACTGTGATGTTAGAGGGACAGTAGTGAGGTGTGTTGATAATGTGCCTGGTGGGGCGTGGGGTCGGTAACTTGCTCGCTACCTGCTCGAAGGACCACTACGTGCGGACACTGGATATGTAGCCGCAAGACACAGGTACTGTGATGTTAGAGGGACAGTAGTGAGGTGTGTTGATAATGTGCCTGGTGGGGCGTGGGGTCGGTGACTTGCTCGCTACCTGCTCGAAGGACCACTACGTGCGGACACTGGATATGTAACCGCAAGACACAGGTATTGTGATGTTAGGGGACAGTTGTGAGGTATGTTGATAATGTACCTGGTATGGGGGTGGGGTCGGTGATCTGCTCGCTACCGGCTCGAAATACCACTACGTGCGGACACTGGATATTTTGCCGCAAGACACAGGTATTGTGATGTTAGGGGACAGTTGTGAGGTATGTTGACAATGTACCTGGTATGGGGTGGGGTCGGTGACCTGCTCGCTACCGGCTCGAAGTACCACTACGTGCGGACACTGGATATGTTGCCGCAAGACACAGGTATTGTGATGTTAGGGGACAGTTGTGAGGTATGTTGATAATGTACCTGGTATGGGGGTGGGGTCGGTGACCTGCTCACTACCGGCTCGAAGGACCACTACGTGCGGGCACTGGATATGTTGCCGCAAGACACAGGTATTGTGATGTTAGGGGACAGTTGTGAGGTATGTTCATAATGTACCTGGTAGGGGGGTGGGGTCGGTGACCTGCTCCCTACCGGCTCGAAGGACCACTACGTGCAGACACTGGATATGGTGCCGCAATGTCGGTAGATACTGGTACTATGACCGCTACTATTGTTTAAACTTGAGCTAAGGGCTATATGAATTATATGACTCGACTTAAATCTTTACGCTTGACTTATTATTCGATTCTCTAAACCTAAATTTAACAACAATGAATCCTTTTCATTCTCTATACCGAATGCAAGTTTAGAGAAACATATCAGAATCGACACTAGAGACTAATGTTAAGTATGTTTTTATTTTAAGCACATATGAAGAAAAATAAATCGGTTCAGCTGTCACACACAATTCTAACGCAGTGCCTTCCACTGTTCGGGCTGATAGATACATTATAGCGTCATCAATGACTAGTAAAAAATATTTAGATAAAGACTGCCTTATTAACGTAGACTAAAATTAAACCTGGGCTAAAACTGATTCTATCTCTTTTGTTTGCTAAAAAGAAGACAGAGACAACATTAGGTAAAAACCAAGGTCAACTTTCACGTTTTGGAATAAAGCGGCGAGAGTCCGTAGTCCAATAAAAAATGAAGACTAAGCTGTAACTCGAATATGATTTACTATCTTTTTTAATACCTATGACGTGTCTATATATTCTCATTTACATATATGTGTATATATAGGTATTCATGTTTTGTATGTATTTAACATAATATATGTAGTTTTCTTTATATATTTTGCTGGCACATTACTCCTCTATCTTTATTAAACTATCCTTTGACTTAATGGTTGTCTGGAAGAGATCGCTTTCAGCGATAAGATCGCCTTTACCTACCATAGTTTACTATCTGTTTTGTAAGCCCTTTGATTGTGTATGTGAGAGTAATAAACAGTATATCTATCTATCTATCTAACAGGTGGTTGGGAGGCCAGTAATCGTCGTCTCCTGGAGCCTCCGCATTACGACGGCGTGCAAGCACTCGCGCTCAATAACGGAGCCCTATACAGCGCCTCGCGTGACACCAGCTTGAAGCGATGGAGTCTCAACGACGGAGCACTTACGCATGTATGTACAGTCATATGCTTTTAATTTGTGCCATATACATTATAATTATAAGATATAAAAGCTAATATTTTGATTGAATGATGATGTTATTCTATATACGTCTTATGAGACAACTATTTAATTTAAGCGTAATTGGTTATTTCCGATATTTTTACAAATAACTTACTATTTTCCATCGTTTCTTTTTTGATGTTTTTTGGTATCGTTTATAAAATATAAAATTAAAGATTGTGTATCATCAATGAAGTTTTTAATAAATGTAATTTTAATAGAAAAAATCCACGCGGTTCAAGCAGCTGGTAGGACTCGAACCCGTACCCTCCGCTATTCGAGTGGGTGCATTGACCAATGATACTACGGCGACCATAATGGCCATGTCGTGTTTCCTCTAGTATTTATTAGGCTGCAAGCGCCATCTCTTCGCATTGTAGGTAATCTACAATATCAAACGAATGCGTACAAGTATTAAGCATTTGAAAGAAGAAATAAACTTGAAGTTTTATTATAAGTATCTTTATTTTTAGCATTTAACTGCTAGATGTTTAAATGTAAAGAATATTTTACAAGAAATATTGTTATGTGAGATTCTGATCACTGAGTATTGATGCATCTTTTGTTTGTCAATTAGAGCGTAATGAACGCACACAAAGGCTGGGTGACAGGCGTAGCCGCGGGCGGCGGTCGGGTAATATCCGCGGGGCGGGACGGGCGCGCGCGCGCCTGGGACTCCGCCCTGCGGCCCCTCGCCCCGCCCGCCCCGCTCGGGGACGCGCCCCACGAGCTGCGCGCGCGCGGGCACACCATCTACACCGCCGGCAAGTGAGTACCCGCGCTGTCATCAACATATCTACAGGGCACCGGTCGGGTAATATCCGCGGGGCGGGACGGGCGCGCGCGCGCCTGGGACTCTGCCCTGCGGCCCCTCGCCCCGCCCGCCCCGCTCGGGGACGCGCCCCACGAGCTGCGCGCGCGCGGGCACACCATCTACACCGCCGGCAAGTGAGTACCCGCGCTGTCATCAACATATCTACAGGGCACCGGTCGGGTAATATCCGCGGGGCGGGACGGGCGCGCGCGCGCCTGGGACTCCGCCCTGCGGCCCCTCGCCCCGCCCGCCCCGCTCGGGGACGCGCCCCACGAGCTGCGCGCGCGCGGGCACACCATCTACACCGCCGGCAAGTGAGTACCCGCGCTGTCATCAACATATCTACAGGGCACCGGTCGGGTAATATCCGCGGGGCGGGACGGGCGCGCGCGCGCCTGGGACTCCGCCCTGCGGCCCCTCGCCCCGCCCGCCCCGCTCGGGGACGCGCCCCACGAGCTGCGCGCGCGCGGGCACACCATCTACACCGCCGGCAAGTGAGTACCCGCGCTGTCATCAACATATCTACAGGGCACCGGTCGGGTAATATCCGCGGGGCGGGACGGGCGCGCGCGCGCCTGGGACTCCGCCCTGCGGCCCCTCGCCCCGCCCGCCCCGCTCGGGGACGCGCCCCACGAGCTGCGCGCGCGCGGGCACACCATCTACACCGCCGGCAAGTGAGTACCCGCGCTGTCATCAACATATCTACAGGGCACCGGTCGGTTAATATCCGCGGGCATATACACTACAAAAATAATCCATCTTAAAATATACTAGGAATAGTTTGCTATTCAATTTTATAAGTAGGACTCCTGACTAAGTAAGACCTATATTAGTAACATCCACGGGGCGCGTGATATTCCCTCGGTGACATGCCCCAGGAGCTGCGCGTGTGCGGGTACACGATCTACAACGTCGGCAAGTGAGTACACACAGAAAGACAGAGATCTATAGGTACTAGGCCAACTCGAGCCTGCCTGAAGCCTTATAGAGGCGCCAGACGAGCACTGTCTGTGTGTTGCGTTAACGCTACGGCTACATATAATTTTAAACGACTTACCATACGATCCGTTGAAATGGCGACGCAACGCACAAGGAAAGGCGGGAGAGTGGCAAGCAATGGAGTCTGGTAAGGAACATGCGTCAAAACGACGGAGCGGTAGCACAGTATTTAATAGCATATCGAGAGTGCAGATAGAGCAGAGCTCTAATGGAATTCACTTTGTCGAAATCATTGCAACGCTCGTGTGGCACCTCCCTTATGCTCAAAAACGGCGTCCAGAGCCGTCAGCAAGTATGTATAATTACAACACGATTAAACGGCACATTAGCTCCGTACAAGGTTCAATTTAATCGCGATTCTTCTCATACACAAAGCAGGGGTATCACTACAACTCGAGCTACTTACAGTGGATCCGTACTCATAAGCCAACAAACGCTAGATCGAATGAACTTTGCCAAAACCGTACCAAACTGTGGCGAGCCCAATAACATAATACACATCTACAGAAAATAGTGTATACATTTACATACAGTATCCATAAAACTTATTAATATTATTTCCCAATAATGAAACTTACCTACCAAAATTGTTCTTGTTGCTTCTTTAAATTTCTATGGGTTGCACCATTATCAATAAACGCAGTGACGGCATAAACGAAGAATTATTAATGCTGCAATACTTTTCAGTAGTTTTTCTTTTTACTAATGAAAAAGCATTGCTCTACTTTATTTAGTATGTCTTTATTCTAATGGCTCAATAGTCTGTATGTTGTTCATAGTTATTTTGGGCTCACTATGTTTCTACTAAAGAACTACTTTAACTGATGCCCCCGATCGTATCAGTAGAATAATCACTTCTTACCCGTTTAAAATTTAATTTTTTCGACGAAATATAGCCCATCTCCTTGCTTCTCCTTTTTCTTTATACTAAAATTCATCAAAATTATTTTCATCCATTTAGGTGTGACAATGTAAAAGAAAAATAGATTTTAAATAAAATAAATATATGTATAAATAATAAAAGATATATAGATATAGATAATATCAGTATAGATTGACAGTTTCCAATAAACATATTTGTTTTAAAACAGTTTATAATTACAGTCTCTTGTAAGATTCCTCTCCAGTCCCAGTAGACAATCTCTTTCATCCATCCTATGTGAATAGTGTAGGTTTTGTTAAGCAAATTACTGGTAACACTGCTGTATAAACAGCTAACTATTATCAAAGTCTTTCGTAATGTGACTTCAGTTCGCATGGAGACCCCCTTTTATTCATCCATGCTCCAAGCAGGAACAACAAGCGAGAAAGTTTTCATATCGCCATCGTCAAAATTTCTATGGAAGGAACTAGTTTGTTCTTACGTCCGATAGGGACCGCTTATTTACCATCTCAGAACAAAAACTAAAGTAAAGAAAGAGTTACAGTTTGGGAGAACTTATGAAGTCGACTAAAATAGCTGTCTTATTTTTACGAAATGTTTACAGCGATTTTACTTGACTGAATGAACAAATACAAATATTTTTTCTAAAAAATCATTGAATAGAAATGACTTTTTGCTCCATGGTCATGATCACGTGAAACGCCTGGGATTGGTCTTGACCAAAATGACGTCACACGCTAGTGTACTTCCGGCAAAACTGACATTACATTGTATCGTTATCGATCGTCGATGATGGATCGTCATCGTTTGAAACACTAGTGAATCGCCATAATGTCCAGAGACACGTTTTCGCGGCAACTTGAAAATGGGATTTTTAATTAAGTTTATTTACTGAATTACACAACACAATTACATTAAATTATCCACTTTTTATGGACTCTATAAACATTAGTAAATAAAGTGAAATCGTTTTCTAAATCTTTTCAAATACCCTATTGGATACTTTTGTTGCTTTGTATACCTTGGTTACCTTTACGATAACGAATCAAATAGAGATCTAATGTCAAATGCAACCAACCAACATGCCACTTATACTTTTTGGTTATGTAATACTTTCTTTGGCAATCATTTATTCTATGGGAGTGTACACTCAACGTCATAGCATTACTTCAATGCTTTAGTTCTTGTTCTGAAGTTTCAATAGAAACTGACGATAGCGATCAACGATATTGAATACCCTAGATACACCACGAGCCCTCAAAATGTGTCCCTATCAAGAAGTGCTAGAACTCCACTCAAGCACTTCTTGGTTCACAGTCACGCGCGGACCATTACAAAGTCAAGATCCCACAGAGCTCCGTGAAAAAATGCGAAAAAAATACTTATAGTACGAAAAGTGTCGTTTTTTCGACAGGTATCTAAGCGATGTTTGTTAACTTAACGCATTTGAAGCAAATTTTGTTCTAATACTTACTATAAACTGATTTAATATAAAATATTTGAGATATTGAAATGGATGGTCGGTTATACGTCGCCGTATAGCCGTCTCTTTTTCTGCTATATTGCAAACAGTGCATTCAAAATTGCGCATTTAGTCAAAAGTCTATATTCTTCCGTATAAAGCAATAAGTCGTAAAATTTTACGAGCTTGCATTTTTAACTGTCTTTGACGCATGCGTTTAAATTAATACCTTATACAGTATGCATTATAGATGACTTTCAATGATTAAATTATGCCTTAAATTGTTTTTGACTACGCGATCATCTTACGAAGCTCCACGGATCGTCTAATGTACCTTTTGGACACGTTTCGGCCACGATTTTGTTCGTGTTGTTGTATCTAGGGTATTTAAAATCGTTGATGGCGATACGAATACTTTCTTGTTCGTGCTTGGGGTACCGACGCGGAGGAAGTAGGTTAAGTGGGTTTTTTTTTAGTTAGTGGTAATATTGGTAACACGCGAGTATGTTGCAGCGGCGGCGAGGTGCGCGCGTGGCGCGTGAGCCTGGACTGAGCGGCGACTCCTTCTGTACTATGTACGCATACATAAACACCTGTCTAGTACCGATACACACGCGTTCGAATCCTCTTTTATGTTGATTTTAGATTTTCTAAATAAATAGCTGCATATTGTTCTTCAAATATGTGCCCGGTTATCCGGTAGGTTTTCGGCGGACCTTGCAGACTATGGCCCGTATTAAGCCGCGTATCGACTGCGCGCGAGCCATGTTCGACCGCGGCAAACCTGCGTTTTGGTGCGCGAGCCAATTTTAAAGCTCATATTTTCATATAGCGTGGCAGCCGCGCGCGGCAGGCGATCCGTGAGCAAACATTCATTTTGTGCGCGGCAACCATGGACGTATCACGTCAGCGAAGTAGTCATTTTTTTCTTCAACTCTAGCACGGGCAGGCCCATTTCTACGCTTATTTCATTCCATGCATCCTTTCTTAGAGATTTATTATGATATTCAGTGCTACTACTCTACTATTCCGTAATTAAGGTTTTAAGCCATATAATCTAATCAAATACCGATCCATCTTGCCGCGCGTCTCTAAGTAAAATGTCCGTCCCAATTGCGCACGCACAACACACTGACGCTCTTTTGTCGCGCCACCAAAAACCGACACGAACTGGTTCGCCGCGCGGCACGTTCGAGCGCGCCAATGTTCGAGCTGCCGCGCGCGGCGAAGCCGTCCCCATATTGCGCGGCCGCCGCGCGAGCCAATGTTCGATAGTTTGCCGCGCGCAGTCGATACGCAGCTTTATAGAAAGATTCTTAGTAATGAATGTAGTCTTGAGCATAGATATAACTTATAACTGTACTCAAGTAAAGATCAACACATAGTTGTCATTCTGTAATACGGGCCTATATCTTGCGATACACGCTTCCATGACGTTGGAGAGATGAAATCCAGATTAAAGGAACATGTGATCGGATTTTGTATTCAAGAATCAAAATGTGGATACATGAATAAAGTTCAACAAGTTTTATGCCTTATCCCGCAGCCACAAGCAAACAACTTGTTATAAATAAAGAAATAATTTGTTGAGTAAAACATTAGAGGTTATCGTTTTCCTAGCCAAAGATGCGCTTTCACCTATCTTTTAGACCTTTGGACGTATTCTTTAATCTGTCTGTGGCTTTCATTGTCTGAAAATTAACACCTGACTTTAACAGGGCTGCACTTTCAGATCAGCCTGCCATTTATATTTTCTTAATAATGAGAAAAAACCTTAAGTGCTTTGTTTCGTAATTTGGTATTACAGTAAAACCCGTTAAAGACGATTTTACAGGGACTCTACCAAAACCGCGACTTACGCGGGAAAGCGTATGATGCGGGATAGGGAAAAAAACGTACTACATATTTATTATATTCTATTATTATTTCGAATGAAGTATTGAGGTATGTAACATAGCTTTGTCCCTTACTTAACAGAATTATAGACTACTGGACGTGTTTTTCCTTTCAGTTTTTATTGGAATTAATGATTTTTTAAATTTACCTTTTTTATAAGACGGTATATACCGCAGTCATGTCACTTCTATTTGTCTAAGCTAGAAGACATATAGAGACCTTTCCACTAGGGTCAAGACTACAGATGGGCCTCAATATTCGCAAAAATGTCATAAGTTAAATTAAGTCGTTACCTATATATCTAATACATGTAAATATAGTTAACTAGTACTTACTCAAAAAGTATAAAGAGGCAAGAGTTGTATGTTTGTAACAATTAATCTCTCAAACTAATGAACTGATTTAAGAGATACATTTTCACAATACATTAATTTCATGTAACTTTTATTGTTTATGCAGTGCAGGCCAAAATGGCTCGCAGATGGGAGATTTTTTCCGTCTTCGTGACACTTATTGCTATATTTTGGCCACTTCCCTCAATACCTACATCAATTTATTATCTATATGATATTACCATATTACCTTGAATTCCATCCAGAGTAATCTATTTGAGTTTAAGAGATCGAACGTGTGTGTATTTTACTTCAATATATATCCCGCATCTTAGTGGTCACCAACTATATTACAGCTCGCAAAGGGCATATAAAATGTCCTACATTGTAAATATTACTTCGCTGTTTTATATTCTCATTTAATTGCTTTTGTATTCATGCAAAACTTTCTATACCACTTTGAATTTAATATCTACGGAGTATACGCCTAGCCTATTATATTCATAGATAATTATTGTCTGAATTCATATCAATAGTAAATGATAGAAAAACGCTTATGTCACCAGCCACTATTCCAAATTTAACGTGGTAGACAATTCTATTCATGTAATTTGTTCATTATAAACTGATTCATAAAACTGCAAGCAAACAAAACAAGCTTGTTGTACTCAACGCCGCCGCTTTGCAAACATATCACCACAGGCAAAACGCAAGCAAGTTATCTTTTAACACCATCCCTTAAGGTCGCTTTTCCTGTGTGTGTTTGTGTGTACAGCCACCCTCATGAACCTTAGAACTAACTTCCTCGAACTAACAGCTTGTGTCTTAGTCACATCTAATAACTCGTCTCTTTAGTCCCATTTCAATAATTTTGTCTAGCTTTCGTTGTTGTTCGTAGTGTTAACCTATTTTGTACGCCTCATAGCAAATAAACACTAATAATGCTACCAGGCCTGATTCGGGCACGATTCTCTCAACTTAAAACTTAATTTGACAGCAGTCTGTCCTTTTCGTTCCTCATAGAGCATGATAAGGATTTACTGTTATCAAATTTAACTTTAGACTTATAAGAGAATCATGCCGGAATCTAGCCCATTATTTAGTTGCTGCACTTGAAGTTAGAGGCGTGTCAGTAAAGAGTTTCATGTTGCAGTGATGGACGCGTGCGTTGTTGGCGCGTGCGACTCGGCCGGTGACCGCAGGGTGCGGTGGAAGGCGACGTGACTACGCCGCCCCCCGGCAGGTCGTTCTCGCCCCGCGGCAGTCCGCACTCGCCCCGCGGCAGTCCGCACTCGCCCCATTCGCGACCACACTCGCCCCGCACCACGCCCCCGTCGCCCCGCACCGCTCCGCCTTCGCCCCACCACAGACGCGCCTGGAGGTGACCACACGAAGACGCACGCAGTAACCCAATCTCATCCCAAAATTGACTCGTGAAATCATGTTGTCGTTTGGTGTTTTTATAAATCGAATGAAAATGACTACATAAACCTACACAGTCGAAGAATTTTAAGGCAATAATTGCTCGTATTTTATTAAGTTTCATTCCATTATAGAAACTGAGTTAAAGTGGTTCTCGTCTAAAACTGCAGCCCGCTAACTTCTTCATCTGTACACATTTGGACGACGATATAACGGTTTTAGATCTCATGAGATTGCTCAATTTGACTTTATGGTATGTCTTTGCGTTTTTGGAGTGTATGGCAATTTGCTTCGAACTTGCGTTCAATGTGGTCCCACAGGTATGATTAATGCTCTATCGGCTACTTTATTGAAAGCATTGCCATCTCATTAAATGTTTAAGATTCGAGTAGAAATAGCAAATACAAAGATTTCGTAGAATATAGAAAGCGAAATCTTTGAGCGTAGATGTTAATGTAGGTCCAATATCATTATCTTAAGAAATCGTTCTGATAAAACGTTATGATGCTATTATCCTAATATTTACTTGACCCCACTGTGTCACGATTTATTAGAACGATACATGTTATTCTCGAGTATACTGCTAGTTTCGCAACCATGGCCTTCATCAGATAATAAGATAGTATATTATACATGTTATATTAAACAAAGCTGTCATTAGTTAGGGAGGGATCATATATATTATATTATGCATAGTTGATACGACCACGAGTTACTATTGTTTTACGGATCACAGACCGTTTAGAGGGTTCCAGTTTTAAAACAAAAAATATGTTTTCATCTATTAAGGGAGAACTATTGATACTTGTGGCCGTTTTCAATATATTCAAAAAGACGCAATTATATAGATAAGACTTAAGTAGCTTAGCAGCTTTAGTTCCTGTGATTTATTGAAGGGTACCTAGTAGAATGATAGAAAGCCAATGCCTTATTGCCAAATCGTACGCACAATTATACGGCGTCGTCGCAAAATGTAGATTTATTAAAAATATTCATAATTGAATCCACGACCACTATGTGATGTGAGGCATCGTCCTAACTAATTAAACATGACTACGAAATCGTAAGTCGCGCAAACTTTACTCGTCAAAATTTTCACACATCAATCTACGAATTCACTAACAAACGTACGATCTCAAATAGATGTTCTAAAAGGCGTTCACGACAGTCGTATTATATTAGAATGATGTAGGCTTTTCTATATCGTGATCAAAATGATAGATATATTCCCAACATCATCTGTGCAGACAACAGTACATCAGATTATACGTAAGTGACAAAATTGATTTTTAGCCTTACTTCTTGATTGCCTAAGACAATGTTAGGCCCGTATTATTAGTTCGCTCTCGACTCGGACTACGATGTTGAGATACTGTTTTCATACAAAACAGTATTTCAACATCGGACTATTTAAGAGCGCTCTATTAATACGGGCTTCGGTATCGTTGTAACCTGATTTACAATTATTATTATACAACACATAAAGCGACCTAAAAGACAATGCAAATTAGTGGACTGACTTCAACAGCTGTGTTATTAGCTGTTTTTTGTTAATTACTTAATGTAAACTATAAAATTGAAAAAATTCTGTTAGGATAACGATAACACACAAGTGAAATCCTATTTCCACAAGACATGAGAGTCAAAATCGTCAGGAAAACAGTATCTACTGTAAAAGTTAGAAAACAACAATATCACATTAATAAAACAGACTGTGATTAATTGGACTACACACACATTATATTTTTATACATTCCTGTGGTACGGTTAGATTTTATTTCTCTCCAGATTTACACATAAGACACGTAAAAGTAGTTAGCCCTGAGTAAAGTTTTATAGATTTTAAAATTGAATATGAACTCTAATTTCCAAATATTAACATACTTTTAAGTATTTCATAGGCTATGAATCTTAGTCAACCAATTTCAGAGTTTTTATATTTCGTTGTTCATTTTGTTGTTTTTTTTTCTTTTAATGAACTAAGCAGGTATATCACATCAGTATTAATGTTTTTTTTAAGGTTTTTATAACTGTTTGTATACACTATAATAGATTCCTTATCAACATGTTAATTTAGCTTTAGCAACATGTTAATTAGAATATATCAATTGTGGAAAGAGCTAAAAATGCTGTTAAATCTTTTTGTAGCTTTAAAACATTTTTTTTAGTTTAGTGACCACAAAGTATGCTACTACGATTTCATTTTATGACTACAAAATAAATTTTCACGTTATTCATGTTTTTTTAAATTTAAGTTTTAATGAATAGCAGCTAGTCATTTATTGTGTATGTGTGTTTGTCTCTTTTGTATTTAAGTATAATTATGGACTCCAATGATACAAATAATAACATGCTTGCAAGATTTTATATGATTCATTATAATTATTTAGTTTTTGCTCAACAGTAAATTGGCTCTCTCAATTATTGCTAGTGAATTTTTTAGGTATTTTTAATAAATTGGCAACTTTATGTATATCTTACGAAATATTTAAATATTTGTGTTGTGTGTTGTTTTACGTGATCAATCATTTTAAACTATGAGTATACGAAAATAAGGTGGGTGGACCATGAAAAGTTGGCCTTTAAAGGAGCATGGCCTTCCATGGAAGATTTAAAATTTTAATAAATCTCAGTTATTGTCATGTGACTATAAATTCCTCCCACTCACACTGAGCTCCACAAACTCATGAACACAGACGCGGAAGCGAGTCGATCGAGTAGCTATTTTGTGATTGCGGTCCTTCCCTTCGTAGACTTCGGTCGACAACGGTTAAATTGTAATTCCCGTGCACAGTAAACGTAAATTTGTTATGTAAATAACATAATATTATTGCCTTATTTTTAACGGTTAATTGTCATATAATGATTTGTTATGGTACTACAGAAAATAATAATAATTTTGCTTCGATTTCAATTAAACAAAGTGTTAATTAATACAATTTTTTTAAAGTTACACAATAAAACAAAGTTAACACTTTAATTTCTTTTATTTATCCAGTAAATGAACTAATAAAAACTGTTTATTCGTAAGAGCGGCCTTCCATGGTCCACCCACTTTAAATAAAGTAAATGCTCCTCAGTAAGAATTTAGTTTTCTTTGAATATAATAGTAAATAATACAATTAAAAACATTAAACTACTGGGTGTATTTGCAACTACATCTGGAATAGTAAGTTAATATAAAAAAATATTATTTTATACCTTACCCTGAATTTATTTAGAATCGAATTTTATTGTTTATTTACCTAGTGCATATAATTTTTTACAATAACCATGAAATTTTAAATAAAATTTTTACTGATATATTCCTGAATTTTATTTTAAGGTAACCTTTACAAAAAACTGATATAATTTAAACCTTAACGTTCACACCATATTGGGCTTGAAACCTACACAGACTAGGGACTTTTGTCCGCCGTAATAGATTGCATACAATAGCATTGAGTAACACACACGATGGATTAAAATACCGCGGAATAAAATCCCCCGAACTACCGCGGACACTGAAAGTATGCGAGGGTCCGTGAAAAAATTGAACATATGTGACAAGAATGCGGCAACGCATACAGCGGACTTTATTCCGCGTCTGCGAGAGTGATTTACCTACGTATCCACAATGGCGCATGAAATCAATGCGAAAAAAACTCTTTTATACTATATAACAACTTGAAAAAATAATATCACGACCGAAAGGACAATGGCGTAATATTTGTTAAAGGAATTCTTTAGCGTTTATGGAATTCATCATCAGAATGCAAATAATAATCTTAAGGTATATATCAAATAATTGAGGAGGGTAATTCAAATCTGGAATTAAAAAAATAAAATTAAATGATCCCATTTTTGTATTGTGGATTAGCGTCATGTCTTTTAAGCCTACTATTTTAAGTGATGTCAGTGATTAAATCCACTTCAAGAAAGCAAACATTGGCGTACTTAGCATGGGTGGCACCCGGGGCGGATTTTGTAGGTGTCACAAACTCAAAACTCAATCAAAACTGTTAAATTAAAAAATGTCATAATAATTTATGTTTTATTAAAATACGAGTATTACAAATATTTGTATATATTATGTGAATATTTTTTTTTGTTAAAATTTAAATGTATTCCTTGTAGCTCTGACACTTGCAAACTCCGAAATTTTGTGTTGTTTCATGTTCTATCGTTAATATACCAACATTGTTTAATATGGTTTTAGTAATTGTAGACCGCAAGTAAATTTTAATTTACTGAAACTCCTCTCACATGAAGTAACTGATACATAATATTGTTATAAATAACTTTAGTGCGACCGTTAGATTCGGAAGAGATTCTGTAAAATCCCATTCCACAATGAATTTCAAATCCGCCCCCGCCGCGCCCCCTTAGCTACGCCACTGAAAGGAAACTATATTTAAATATTCAGAAAGATCGTGGAACATTGTTTTATTCAATACCATAAGGAAAGCATTATAAAATCCCCTCAACGATACAAATGTATAATCAATCTATATTCCGATATAAAGGGATGGACCTAGTGATGTGACCAGAGAATGTTCTCCAATCGAGAACTTTCTCGTATCGAGAATATTCTGAAATGTTTCCGTTCAACCGAGAATGTTCTCGGTACACTGGAAATTTATGAGAACTTAAAATGATGTTAATTTATGTAGAATAAGAACGATATAGTTTCAAGTTTTGTAATGAAATTAGTTCGTTTTGTACCATAACAACTTATTCAATTTACAACAACACCAAAGGGTGCCTCGGCGATCGGCTTTATTGAAGTTGAACCTTTGAATTCCGACAAACGACACGCGCCGCGCGGCTTTTTGTGATTTCTGCTCCCGCACCTCCCCTCCCCGTCTTGCTGCACGCGACGCTCGGTTAGGGGCACG